GAGACGTAAGATGCGTAGAAATACTAATTGCGTAGATACTTGATGCTTAGAGCGTCCATCCATTTTGAAGAAGAAGCAGTCGAGCCGGATTAAATTCCTTTTTCATTTAAATTCTCATTTTGTGGCCACTATTCACTTGACACTCTAGTCGTACCTTTCCACAGAAGATTTACTTTTTTGACATTGTTGAGATAGAAAGCAAGCCAATGAAATAACGTCTTAGCACAATAGAGAGCAAAAGCTGAAGTACGTCGTTATGAAAAATGGAAGCACGCGAAGAGAAAAATTTTGGTTTGCAATTTGGTGATCGGTCAAGAGGCATCTGCATTAAGGGTTACGTAAGATCGCATCATTAATTTGAATGACGCAGTTTAGATTTAAAGCGCTACTTTTAGGACAGATAGATGAAGTTCCCAAATGAAAAAGAAAATAAAAGAGGTTATAGTGAATTAAATTTAGAAGTTTGCTTTCATATTTTTTATCTTCTTACACATTCCCTCCTTTCAAAAAAGAAAAAGACGAAGCGATAAAGAAGCCTTTTTGAGAGAAAAAGCATTAGAGTAGCAAAAATATGAGAAATATAATTTTGAAGCATACAAAATATGAAATTAGCTTTCGAACAATAAAATTATAATACGTAAAATTTTGAGTTCAATAATAATTTTTAAAGTCCTATGAAGATTTGAGTCCAATCTATAAAAAGTTCTTGTTTCTGGAACATTCACGCCACAATTTTGATACTCCAAGGAAAGATTTCCAAAACTTTTTGCACACCAGATCACATTTATAATAAAACTTTTATATACCCATTAATTATTACGAATAATCATAAATCTTAAAATTTACACAATACTAATTTTCATATATATAAGTGATACTTTTAGCATTTGGAATAACATGATTGAAATTATGGATTTACTTTTATTACTATATTTTACAATTTTCTTATTTTACACAAACTAGAAGACCCCACATCTTTTTCCTAGTACACACATCCAGCTTATTTGGGCAAATCCACTTTAAACAAACTCATGTATTAAATTTTCATGAGTGGGTTAAAGAACTGCGTAATAACATTTCATTATATTAAAAATTAGTCACACTCCATCATATGAAAAAATAAAATTCTATATAATAAATAAAGTGGGAGCCTTCAAAGTTTATATTATATTACATGACGAGGGTAAAAGAAATAATTATGCAGAGGTAAAACAAGCCTCTGCTTCTGAACCAATACTCCTAATACTTCATATTTAACATACAATTATTGATAATTATAACATTCATTTACCATAATTCCAAACAAATTTTAAAACAATTTACTTTTAATTAAATGCTGATATAAATTGTATTACCTTTACTCAATTTTCTCAAGTCTCTGATATTTGTATATTAATTTTAGCAATATTTAACTTTCTCCCATTTAATAATTATTTCATTTATACTTCATATAGACATCATTCTCCAAATAATTATAAAATTCAAATTTTTAAACAATAATCTTAATTACAAAATAATTTAAGAATTCTTATCTTGTCAACAAAATAAATCCAAAATTTTAAATAGCGCTGTAAGTCTAAACTGCGTCATTCAAATTAATCATGCGATCTTACTTAACGCTTAATGCAGATGCCTCTTGACCAATCACCAAATTTTGCAAACCAAAACTTTTCTCTTCGCTTGCTTCCATCTTTTATAACGACGTACTTCAGCTTTTGCTCTCTGCCACCTTCAACACACTACGGTCTTCTCGGTCATCTACGCAGTGTCTAAGCTGTTAAAAGTTACGTTGTTTTTATCTACGCATTTTAGAATCATTACATATATTTATATACTTTTGGTGCGGCCGATTGCAATGTTAAAGCAGTCCTACATACAAAATTTTAACGTTCTGAGGTTACTCGTTTTTGAGTTATACGAGATAAGTGCCTACGCATAGACGCCACGAAAAATTCTCTTCAGAATTCATTTTAAATCAGTTTTATAATTTTTTGAGTGGAAAAGAGTCCTTTATTCAGTCCTTATTTGCGGATGTCACGCAAAAACATCATTAAATTGCATTGGATAGCAACCAGAATCCTTATTTTCGTTGAAATCTGATACCCGAAATCTTTCGCGATTACAATACCTCATACAAGGAAGTAAAAAGTGAGATTTTTAAAATAGAAAAATAAATTCTACAAAAATGGGTAAAAGTTTACAATTGGATGCCCCTTGCTTTTTGGCGATTCTTTTTTGACGCCAAGAACGCACAATTTCATGATGGCCGCTACACAAAACCAAAATAAGAAGTCAAAGAATTGCACAAATTCTGTGCCCATGTACACATTGATCTGTTTTCACTTAAAAAAGCATCCTAGAATTGCACAAACTAGGCATTGCGCACTGCCTTAAATTTTTACATGTACACATCCATCCATTTTCATTGAACTAAAATCAGGAAGCTAAAACACAGTTAAAACTATCATGGTAACCAGAAGTGAGGTTTCATCGCCAAAATTTAAAAAAACGTTGTGGCTAATCGAAGGAGCACCAAATTCTACACTAGAACCCATAAATGTTATTCTGAAAAGAAAAAAAACTAATTAAACTCAGATAAAATAAAGAGAAAAACTGCATTGTATGATGCTTTAGATAAGAAGATGAAGTTTGAAATAATAACGAAAACACATGAAGTGTTTTTATAAAAACATAAATTTTAGGCATTCAGAATAAACTACGTTCGGAATATTAATATTATACCTGTCTGATTGTAAAAAATAATGAAATTCTAAAAGAAATTATGAAAAGAATGAATAATTAAACCGGAATAATTAAGAAAATGAATGATTAATTGCTTAGAAATTATACAAAAATAGAATTTAAATGGAATTTTGAAAACTTATTTCCTGCTGCATACTGAGCCTTCCCTAGAAAATTTAGATCAAGTATTCCTTAACTTTTTTTTGTATAAAACCCTTTTGAAAAGTGATTTCTTCATTGCCCCTCTTGAATTTTTCTACCTAATCTACCACAACATAATCATAATACAAGAACTTATACATAAGTAACTGAAAGATAATAATTAGATTAAGAAGGTGAACAAAAATTTTCAAAAAATGGTTTATTAGATCCATGTGTAATTATTATTATTATTATTATTTTTGCTTGCAAATATAAAATGTTTTCAGAAGTAAAATCACTGATAGCCCAAAAGCACAAAAGTTAGAGTTTAACTCTTGTGATGGCTTAATGTATTGATTCAATTTTTTTTTAATATTTGACATAAATTTGTCTATTTAATTTTTATATCTCCTTTTTCAAAAATATTCAACCTGTTTCTCGTTTTCCATCGTAGTTTTGCTTTGTATATTTTATTATGTATCTTTTTGCGATCTTTCATTTAATTTGTAGAGTTATTAGGTTACTTTGAAGCAGGAGACATGAACAATGAGCAATACCCTCGTAGGGACTCAAACCTAGACCTCTCGAATACGCGCCAAATGTGCTACCTTTACACCACGAAGGCATGCTGGAAGGAGGGAAAAAAACTAACCTATAAATTTTTTATATTGCATCAATTGCTTAAAAATTTATATGTTTAAAAGGTATTATTGATTTTTAATTTTAGTGTATTTTCCCTGTTGTGCTTATGTTATATATATGAATTGTTCCTTACTACATTATAGAGCTTTATAACAATATTATTACTAAATATTTTTAGTATGCAGTGAGATCTTGATTACACCGAGCAATTGCCATTGCATATTCGGTTGTGGACCCTAGGTTACTCCTAATCATCAGAGACTCCTTGTAAAATTTCATCGAATTCAGCGGTCAGTAGCGATCCCTTTGGAAACTCCTGCTTTAATAATATTTAATAATAATTTATAGATAATAAATTATCAATTTTATTAACACATTTTCTGTAATCAGTACAATCTTGATTATGCCAATCAAGTGTCAGTGCATAGTGGGTTATCGGCCCCCAGTCGACTGCTTAAATCGACTTTTAAAATTTCATCGATCCGCATCGATTACTATTTACTAGGCTCACCAGTCGTCCGGCTTTCACTGGGACTGCCCCAGTGTGATGATGTAGTCCTTGCGTCCCAGCCAGTTTGTCATTTTATCGAGGTTATTTGGTAAAATTTTAAAAGTGCCGAATGTATATTATTATTAGAAATACAATTGTACAAGAATTCACAGAATTATATGTCGTTCTTAAATTGAGCTGTGGGAAAACAGTTTTTGTAGAGCAGAATCTTTCATTTAGATAAGCAGGAGTGGATTAACATTGTCTGAAATTGAAGCTTTAGGTGAAAAAAATTAATGAAAATATCGCAAATAATACAAGAAACGTCGATCAACGTTTGATGAAGTAATGATAATAAAAGTATTTTGGTAAACTATCTATGAAATTTGAAAACATAAATTTGTGTAGAAAAACAGATACAACTTATCAGTCATTTCAAAGAAAAAAAAACATTTCATTGCCCAATCTCGTTCAAATAATAGAGTGCATTTTCAGCACACCAAGCACACTGGCAGTCGAAAAAGTTTTGCGATAACGAATATCATATGATCTGTACAAAAAAATCAGAAAGGTTGAATTAAGTGTAGAAAGTTTATTAAGCTGCTAAATTTAAAGTAAACTAAAGTGTACAATTAAGAACTTTTAAAGAAAGCTCACGCTAGTGATAAACAATAACAACTTCTTAATGATAAGGTTTGTCCAGTTGATTTATGAAAATTTCTTTTAACGTAAGATTGGTTTCTGTTAACAGCTTCTTCATTTAGCCTTTCAATCATAAGTACTTTTTAGTAATCCTAATAGGTTTTATTTTCTGTTGTGAATATTTTATTGAAATTGTATAGGTTTGAACAAAAATATTATGGTAAGCCTTTTATTAACCTTTAATTCATCCATAAGAATTACTTTACAATAACGGAAGAAATAACCAATTTAACTAATGTAGATTCCTAATGTAGACTTGCTTATTAATAATGTCTTATTTCAGGTATATCTACAGCGGCAATTTAGATATTCAAAACGAGGAAGATCTACCTGGAATTGCAAAAGCGGCTTGCATTTATGAAATAGAGAGCTTGAAGCAAGCATGTAAGAACTTGCTTTCTAACTATGCTATTAATGTACGGAATGTGTGTTTTTTGTTGGATGCAGCGAATATATTAGAAGACAACCATGTACGTATGAAGTGCCTACAATTAGTTAAAATGGAATGGAAATCTGTCTTAGAATCTCCTGAATTTTTATCTGCTAGAAAAGAGATCGTATTTGATATTGTATGTGAGCAGAATCTTGAAGATACATCAAAGACTGAATTTATTGAAGGTATCATTCGCTGGATTCAAAGCAAACATGAACCGAATCGAGATCTGTTTTCGTGGATAGATATGTCTTCAATGACGGACAGAAAGTTTTTCGACATAATTAAAACATATCCATCTTTCTTCACAAAAGAAGAAATATCAAGTATTCTGCTCAATTTAAGCTGCCCTGAAGAATTTGAACCGCCACTTTGGTTCAATGATTCAACAAACGTGCGGTTTATCGAATTTGAAAACCCAGAAATCAGCAATTTTATTGAAACAGCACCTGTGAAACCTGAAACTGATTGCAACAAGTCCTTTCGGAAATGCTCATTCCATGGCGAAAAGGGATTCAGCGCTTCCATTACAGTCCAGTTTAAATTTTTCGAATCTTTTCCTGATTCAATGAGTCTGGTTATGATGGAACTCGCATTTGGTAGTAGCTTTGTGCCAAAAGAAAATCTGCGTTTGGAGCTTTCATACCGCACAAAAAATGATTTAAAAAAACATAAAATAAGGTATTGGATTATGGATACTGACAAGAACTATTACATTATCACTGAAAACTGTACGGAATTGGAGAATAAGTGCTCATTTTTTCTCAGTCTTCGTATCCATGTCCAGAATCTCAGAAAGTGGGGATGTTGTAAGCCTGTGTCTAATGGTCAGTATTTAGGTGTAAATATACCCAGTGGCTATTCTTGCAACATTTATCATAACCTGTGTGAAGCGCAATGCATGGAATTGATACCACTCTCAGAGTGGCTCATATTTCTTGACACTACAAATGGAGACAAACATTTTGTAATTACTAAATTTTTCTTTGATTCATTTATAAATCATCAAAAACTTCTTCAGAAATTGCATCTTTAAATTTTATATGAAAGAGACTTATAAAAATGAAGATATATATAATTTCAATAATAAATATTTACTTAATATTTTATTTTATATGCTGTTCTCAAGTTCTTATGACAAATGTTCTACATTAAAATTTATTCATCACTTAGATACATATTTATAACTTTTTTTCTTGGTAGAAGAAAGATGAATCTTTTTTCTATAATTTTAACGATATTTCCTTTTGTATTTTATTATTGATTGATTGTTGTTATTAAGAAATATTTTCCTTAAAAATTAGAGCTCCATTATGTTGTACTTCTTAGTTACCTAAAATCATTTTTCTATTTAATTATCTATTCATTTGTATGCTTAGAGCTGCAAAGAAGGAAAGTTAGTATTGTTCATATTTCAGAATATTTCAGAACGATCACCTATTTACTAAGCATATTTCAAATTTGTTTTTCCTTTATATTAATTCCATAGTTTAAACAGCTAGCTGCTATATATTACCTTTATTATGATTATTTTATGGAATGTATCTGTATTTAATTAACAGATAGTATAAAGATTGTAGAGAATATACGTAGGAATATGTTCGTCTGAGGGTTCTGGCTTTATTTTACGTTTTGCATACTTTATTTTGAAAAATGTACATTCGCTAACATGCTTGTTTTTAGCAAAAAGCATAATAAATAAGCTATATTTATGAAATATATTTTTTTAGGTGGGTTCAATTTGTCAAAAATCCGTTTAGTTTTTTTCCTTTAAATTGCGTATCTTATTTCAACTCTTTATTATTCTGTTTGACTGATATCAACTAAGACTAGACCTGTAATAACTTATTCAATATTCCATACGCAGCATCGGTGGATTTTGATATGTTATGGTATCAAATAAAGACACTTTCCTTTAACTAAAGCTATTTTTGAATCAAAGACTATGTACAAGTATTATTTGCATTACAGGATATCTAGTTCCTACCACTCTCATTAATCTCTCAACACTCTCTGGTGAAAACTCTTAATTAGCTAAACATACGGGCGGCGCAGCGCCCTCTATCTCTTTTTCTACATCACTCCCCCACCTGCACTCTTTAATAAGAGTACACCTACTTACTTACATAACAATATTAACATTAATTATTAATGGATTAATACTAAATAGTACGACATATATAAATGAATAATATAAAAAGAATAATCTATACTAGTATATATCAAAGCCACAAATGAACGTAATAATTAATAATATAATAGTAAATTCAAATAATATCAAAAGCTCTAAATTAAATCTCGAAAAAATATAACATCTGGATCGATCTTCTGAATTGTCCTTTGGGCGTGCGAACGAGGCACGCTCGAATATATCAATCTCTTCCTATAATCACGTTTTTAATTATATCCATGTTCCAAAGTAGTTTGGATTGTTTTGATCGTTCTACCAACGCATCATCTCCAGTCTTAAGGTTCCGCTCAGTTTTAGGATTAGCAAAGTTATGTGCATTTCTAAGATGGAGTAAATATTGCTCTTTACACTTGATCCGTGTTAATTTTAAGAGCCTAGGTTGGTAAAGCTTCCTCCTAGTTAAAGTCTCTTTGTAGGACACCTTGTTAAAAATTTCCAAGAAATGCTTGGAGAAATTAAATATATCGCATCCTGGCAATAAAAACTGTGAAGGTGTGAGCGGGCGAGGTTCACCCAGCTCTTTGCTCTCGTATCTTAAAGGTCTGTTATTTAGCACACACTCGAGTTCAATTAATATTGTACAGAGCTCTTCGAAAGTCAGTAATGCTCTCCCTAAAATTTTCTTCAGAGGTTCCTTGATGCTTCTCATCAGACGCTCCCAGAACCATCCCCACCATGGGCAACGCTCAGGTATGAATTTCGGGGCCCACCAGCGGCCGAGCGCTAAAGTCGCTGAACACTGGTAGTTCGGTCCGAGGTTCGAATCCCGCGAACGGGCTGGCTGCATGGGCATTTTCGTGGTTTTCCCCATGTGTAACGTGTATACGAGCCAGTTTCCCTTAGAAAGTCCTCTACGAAGGCATCCCTCCCCTTAGACAGATAGCCCTCGAGGCTTTGCCATAATCACACACACACACACAGGTATGAATTTCCATGTTGTCGCTTTCGTTGTCAAGAAATCTCTTACACTTGACTCTGCTCTGATTCTTTTAAATCCTTTAATTATTTCGCATGTGCTGCGGAAATTCTTGGCATTATCTGAATAAATCACTTTGCAGCTCCCTCTTCTTGCTAAAAAACGTCGTAATGAAAAAATTGAAACTTTTTGCTGACATATCTTGAAACCACTTCAATGTGTGCAGCACGAGTGACGGCGCATGTCAATAAGACTATGTACACCTTTTTGTGGATATCTGCTTTTTCTCTAATAGTAACCGCTCCCGTTAAGTCGATGCCTACAACTGTGAAAGGATTACTTTGGACTACACAATCTCTTGGTAACTGATGCGTTAACAGTTTAGCGGGCTTCACTGCGAACTTTTTACACACCAGGCAAGCGTTAATAACTTTCTTTACTACTTGTCTTTCTTTAGGTATCCAAAATTTATTCATGACTTTGGACAATGTTGCCATGACTACTGAATGAAATACTTTTATGTGTTCACTAAATATCACTAGTTCGGTGAACTTCGTTTTCGGCAGAATATGGGGATGTTTTTCGTCATCTATTAATTCTGTTTGTTTCAAATGACCTCTGACACGCAAAATACCTCTACTATCCAGATATGGTGCTAAACTGTAAAGCTTCGAATCTGGTGTTATTAGATTATTCCTCTCTAATTGTTGAATATCCAAAAAATAATTCTCTCTCTGGACTTGTTTCATCCAGTACTCCTCAGCTTCTTGGATCTACAATACAGTAAGAGGACCTTCTTCACAGGTACGTTTTCTTAGCTTGGCGACAAATTGCTTTACCCAAGCTATAGCTTTTAACAATTTTTCCAGACTGCTGAATTTGGTAATGTTTAAGGTAGTTTCTCCTTCTGGAACAGTCACCTGAACATAAGTGCTTAAACGTTCCAAATTTTGAGTATCAGTTTCTACTTCCGCTCAGGCCATTGATCTTCAGATTCTTTCAACCATGATGGACCATGCCACCAGTTATTATCCTTTACCAATGCATTTGCTGTTTCAAACGAGTTAACTTATTTGCTGGGTTTTCCGACCCTGGACAATATTTCCACTTATCAGACGAAGTACAGTCTTGTATTTCTGAAACTCTATTCGACACTAACTGCTTCCACTCACGCGCTGACCCCTTTATACACCACAAGCAAATTTATGAGTCCGTCCACAGAACTAACCTACCTACCAAATCCTGAAACATTTTCAATAAATATTTCCCTAACCTAGCTGCAACTACAGCCCCCATCAATTCCAACCTAGGGAGGCACACCGTTTTTAACGGAACTATCCTACTCTTCGACATTATAAACGACGCTTAGAACTTCTGGAAAGTAGCACCTCTCTATTTTCAACGCATTTAATACCTCAGTTTCAGCGCACCACTTTATCCATTTGCACCGTAATTCCTTTGGCAACTCTGAATCCCACTTCAAACCTGTCTCCCATATTTCCTGCATCAGCCTCTTAATTCGCACCACAAATGGAGAAATAAATCCGACTGGGTCAAACGCCTTAACTGCTGTGCTTAACACCGATCTTTTACTATTTCTCAACGATTCTAAACTACTCAACAATGATGTAATGTCTATTCTCAAACCATCCTCTTCTAAGTTCCACACCAAGCCTAACACTTTCAACTTACTATCTCTCTCAAACCTACTTTCTTCACACAACCCTTTCTGAACCCACAAGTCATACAACTCTTTAGAATTAGTGTTTAGCTGTCTCAAACTGAAACTCGCGTCTCTCAAAATAGATACCGCCTCTGATGAAAGACTGAAAGCTGACTCTACACTTTCCCCTCCATAACACAAATCGTCTGCGTACAGTGAGCTATTTAACATATCGACACAGTTTTTGTTTGTTTCCGTGTATTTCTTTATAAATGACATTTGATCGTTGCACTGAATAAAAACGGTGAACAATTACATCCAAATAATACTCTGTTCATTTGCATAATTTTAAAGTCCTCACTGTCATTATCAGGATACCACAGAAATTTAAATCTTCCCTTGCTATCCTAATCATCAAAAACGCCTTTTCTATGTCAACACAGAATCCAATTTTAAATTTTCGAAAGGCAAGAATGATATCCAAAATATTCAGATTTAGGTTTGGGCCCTTTTCTAAGCAATCGTTTAACGATAGCTTTCTCTTTTCGCAACTGCAGCAATTAAATACCATTTGAACTTGCTCGCTTTTTTTATCTTTACGGACCACTGCTCGGAATGGCATAAAGTAACCCTCTCTCGTATCCTCATACTCTTGAATATTGTTGTTTTGTGTCTGAAATTTAATTATTTCCATAAACGTTTCCGTCACAAAGCTGTTACTTTATAACTCTCGCCGCACCCTTTCGAACTGCCTTTTCGCTAAACCAAAATTATTGTGGTGCATGGGGAGTCTGTATGTTCTCAAAGGAAAACCAAAATTATTTTCCAAATGCTCTGTACTCCTATTCCACAACAAGCGAGCCTCATACCTCCCATCTACATATTTCAACTCCTCTTTAAATTGTTTAATTATTTGCTAATCGGCAGCGCTCCGTTCCGACGCGCACTGAGAAATTCCTAGACTTTCAAATCTCCCAAAGCTGACGAATTTGTTTTGATTTTTTTAATTCCTCTTCCGAATCGATGTGTATAAACAAACCGGTGGAGTCTGACCCTGAACTTAGCTTCTTACTCCCCCCCCACTCTACCACTCAACGTCCAACAGAATATGCTTTCGTGCAATACTAAATAGTCTATTAAAGGATGTGTTTTCGCCGTTAAAATGTAGTTCAAATAATCATTCCCAATTAAAATCTGTACCTCTGCTGCTTCACTATCGCAGCTGTCAGATAAGTCAAATCCTTCCCGGCCGATGCACCAAAAACTTGTTGTATGTAATAACTTACTCAATATTCGATACTCGGCATCGGTGGATCTTGATATATTATGGTATCAAATTAAGGCACTTTTCTTTAACTAAAGCTATTTATGAGTCAAAGACTATGTACAAGTATTACATACAGATTACAGGATATCTAGTTCCTACCGTCATCACTCTCTCTTGTGAAAACTCTTAATTAGTTAAACATAAGGGCGGCGCAGCGCCCCCTTTCTCATTTTCTACAAGATCAGCAAATGTACTATGCAATGCTATTAATATTTTCTGAATACTTGAAAGAAATTCTCAATTAAATGTATTTTCAGTCATTGGAATAAAAGAGCAATAAAATTTTTTTGTTATTTACATGTCTTTATTCAGAGGTCAAGCGTGAATTTAGTTATTGCACGTTACACTTAATTTCTGCAAGTTCAAATTGCTTTTGACATTTAAGGCATTTAAATGGGCAGTTATTATCAACAAAGTTATCGAATCAGCTCTCATTTTAAAGCTGAATATTGCATTTGATAATCTTTTCGATTTTTTTTCAAGTTACATAAGTTAGTTTGATTAATAGAGTACTGAAAACTTCACATAAGCCAGAATGGCAATTTATATTCGGCAAATAGGACAAAACTTCAAGGGTCTTCAGGTTTTTTTATTGTGTATATATGGTGTAATGGGAGGAAAACGTGATTAAATTTGCAAATGATTTAGGATACAGAACGGGCAGAATTCAATACACAGAGTTGCGACCTTGAGTAGTAATAATATGTAATATGCATAGAGTCGAACTAAGCTTGGATAACAGATACGGATATTTCATTGCATGCGGCTTCAACTCTGCCAAAGTTCATCAGTCGTAGAGGCTAGTGAGAGATGGCGTGTCGGTCTCTTGGCAGCCCATGACGAGATATTTTTAAAGATTGAGAGATCTGAAGAACATGCTGGCCAAGGTTAGTTAAACATCCTCTGTGTCGAGGAAGATCAGGGCAGCACGGGCTATATGCAATCTTGCATTACCTTGTTGAAAGTGGTCGCAGGTGGCGTCTCTCAGGCCTTGATTCGTGTCTGTGCCCGTGTCTATAGCGGCTGCCTACATTACTTACTATGTGAACAAGAGGTGAGCTGATGTGTACCCAATGGCACCCATAGGTGCACGACAGATGCTGGGAATGTATGAAGATGACGATTGCAGTCTTCATTCTCCTCTTTACCACCACACACGGATACTCCATTACGATCCTATAAGCATAAGCGGAATTGATGTAAAAAGACGGTATGGTGCTATTCTTGAGTTCAGTGTCGTCTTTCGTCGCACTACGGTAGGGGCGTCTGTCCCTGCTGCGGTGTCAAAGAAAGGAGCACAGTGATCGCAATGTTCATAGTCCGTGTAGCTGCAGGCGTCATAGTAACGTTCTTGAAAAGAGTTTTGGTACTGCACATGAGGCAAGTCACTGACTCAGGGTACGTGTCGTGTCTGTATGATCCGACAAGGCCGAGGACAACATATCTGTCTCTTGAGTATTAGTAGGCCTAGGCCCCTGATATCCTGCATGGCGTTTAGTGTGGTCCTTATTGGACCTATTGATTCCATATTCTTGATTATCAGTCAGGGGATCCCGAAGAACACAGGCAAAATATCGCGGAACGATAAAACATAGTTTCGATATGCCAGGATCTTGTCTCGGTCGAATTTTAGCAAGCGCTTGTAGAAGTTTCTCCTAGTTCGAAGCACAAACATGGTCTTCACACGAACAATCAACGTACGAATTCCAAATAAAAAAACTTACTGTGCAATCTTCTCATTTATTCACAAAGTAGATGACGTTACTCGTACCTGCTTTCCTGCGCTGTATTGCTAATCATTTGCATGTAGGTGTCATCCAAGTACAAGGTTTCATCCAAATATGACATTTGTTGCATGCGGCCTTCACGGTGTAGCAATTTTAAAGGCCAACAGTGAGGAAAATCTTTTTTTTTCACCTTTTTATACTTCATTCTACACATTCAGTTTCCCGTAATTCATTATTCAATACATGACTCAATAAATATATTGAATAAGACTTTTAATGTATTTGCTGCTTACTCAGCTACGGGAAGAGAAAATGAGGCGTTTTGTGCTTGCGTTATTTCAGTTTATGTGATTGTTGTGTTTAACAAATTATTCCTGCCCTTAATTCTATGCTAGAGTTTATGTATTATTTTTTTTATGATGTGTTAAATGTTTTAATTAAGGAATACTAAAATTTTTTGTTATGTTGGTTTATTAATGGCTTAACTGGTTTTCATGCGATGCGTGCGTTGTTATACAACAATTTCAAATTAACTAGAAGTGGACTGTACTAAATATTTTATTCGACGACTTTAATCAAATGCGTGCCATCTTTCAAGCGATGACTTACTACTAATAACAACAGCAATAAAAAATAAAACTGAGTAAGCGTTTACAGGGTTGCTGTAATGAACATCTGCGCCATGCAAGGCGCCAAGAAGAGAAAAAATGACGTAATCTTACAGTTAAATAGTCTTAATGACTTAACATACCCCCCGGCATTGAAGGGTTACTTCAATAATTTCGTGCGATAATACTCATAATAACCTACAAAATTGTACAATTACAACTTATACAATAATGCAATACGAATAATATCTCTTAATTCAATATAATAATATTCAATTTTCAATAAAAATTTTATACACAATACAATGTACAATACAAGTTTTATAATAATAAGCTAACACTTAACTAACTTAGGAAGCTTCTTCTTGGGGTAAAATTGCAATTTTTGTAATTCCACACTTAATGATGCCCTTTGCTGTCTGTATTTCTACTATTCTAACCTAACCGTCAACTCCAGGAAAAATTCTTGTAATGCGTCCTAACACCCATCTACAAACAGGAAGCTCATCTCCTTAACTAGTACTAGCATACCTATTTTAATATTCGTTTGTTTCTACCTTCCATTTTGAACGCTGTTGTAGTGTGTTTAAATAGTCCCTATGCCAACGATTCCATATCAACTGGACAAATCTGGTAGTTCGTTTCCATCTTGAGAGTTTGTTTTCAGGTATATCAATTAATTCGGGTTCTACTATAGCATCAAGGGTCTTCCAATGAGAAAATGACCTGGTGTTATTGCCTCTAAATCATTTACATCGGAAGATAAGGGAGTAATAGGGCGAGAATTTAAAACAGACTCTATCTGAGTTACTACAGTTAATAACTCCTCGAAAGTCAACCTTGCATTACCTACAATCCGCTTTTAAGTGATATTTCACGGATTTTATTCCAGATTCCCACACCAAAATTAGGTGTCTGTGGGGGAATAAACTTCCATACTATTCCTTCTTCACCTAAATAATCTGCTAATTTTTTGTCAGGATTTCTAATTAAATTGTTAATTCTTTGCAATTCGGCATTTGCGCCAACGAAGTTTTTTGCGTTGTCTGAGAAAATGATTGAGCATTTTCCGCGCCTAGCAATAAATCTCTTTAAGGTGGCAATAAATGCGTCAGTGGTGAGTTCACTCACTAGTTCGAGATGCACTGCCTTTGTTATAAGGCAAATGAAAAGAGCTAAATATACCTTATGAAGAGTTCCTTTCCTCTGTCCCTTGTACCTAATAAGAAATGGACCGCAAAAATCGGTGCCGACATGATTAAAGGGTGAGCTTGGAGTTACGCGCTCTGCAGGTAATGACCCCATAATTTGTTCGATAATGACTGATTTATTTTTACTACAAATTATACATTCATGGGTAATGTTTCTAGTTAAATTCCTACCTTGTAATGGCCAAAATTTCTGTCTCATAAAATACAATAATGCTTGCGAATCTACGTGTAAATATTTCTGATAATAATGCTCAGCAATCAGCTTAGTTAGTTTGCATTTAACAGGCAAAATTATTTGATGTTTTTGTGAAAACATTACATTGGCCCCTTGTAATCGGCCTCCTACTCTCATTACATTATTTGCATCCAAAAAAGGGTTCAAAGAAAGTAAATTACTTTTATTATTAATGGGTTTACCTTGGTCGAGGGAGTTGTATTCTGAATAAAAACTACATTTTTGAACCTCTCTTACTAAAAAGGATTCTGCCTCATTTAACTCCTTTGAACTTACTCCTCCTGTTCTTCTCTGTGCTCCTTTCTGTTTTGCACACCTAGAGTTCCAAATATTACCTGAAAATATAACTAACAACAGGTAATAATTTTAAATAATTGTTAGTGATATCTAGGACATTATCAATAAATTTTGAAGGCAAAGTGCATAAACAAGCAATGTCAGTTCTTTTTCTCAGTTCATTAGAAAATGTCTCTGTTTTTTCTAATTGTTCAAAGTCAATGTTCTTGTTAGGTATGATACCCTCACTCAAGAATGGAGGACCTTTCCACCACAGATCAGCATCCTGCAGCTTGTCAAAATTCAGTCCTCGGGAAATAAGGTCAGCCGGGTTCTCCTCTGAACGCACATAATTCCACTGGCATGTCTGTGTTAGGTCTTGGATCTCCAACACTCGATTAGCAACAAAAGTTTTTAGTACATGCGGGGGATTCTGAAGCCATGCTAACACTATGATTGAGTCACACCACAGACATATTTTACTGATGTCCAATTTCAATAAAGGCACCACCTTTGCAACAAGCTGTGCTAGCAGTACAGCTGCGCAGAGTTCCAGTCGAGGTACTGTCAGCGGTTTTAGTGGAGCTACTCTGGACTTGCTGCAAAGCAAATGTGAAGATAAATTATTGTCACTTCTACAGCGTAAATAGATGGCTACTCCGTATGCGTGTTCTGATACATCTGAAAATCCATGAATTTGTATATCAGAAAAACTATCTGTAAAACAACATAGCTACTGACTTTCAAATTGTTGATAGATTGCATTGAATCAATAAAAAGTTGCCACTCCTTAATTATCCTTTCGGTTAGCGGATCGTTCCAATCAAGCTTCAATAACAAAGTCTTTGGATGAAGATTTTTGCTTTTGTTATCCCTGGACCAAGCAGTCCTACTGATCATAAATGCGAGCAATATCAGGACAACACTGTTCTCTTTGTGTAAGTAGTTTGGTTTCTTGATGGTTGATTTGTACGAAAACAATCTATCTTTGGATTCCATAATAATCCTAAAGTTTTGATGCTCTGATCGTCATCGAAATTACTGAAAGAATATTCCTCTTGTCCATCGGAAACTGCAAAAGATCAGGATGATTAGCACACCATCTGTGCAGACGCATTCCTCCACGTGATAATAGGTTAATCAATTGCGACTGTAATTCTTTAGCCTCTATTAGAGTATGGGCTCCTGTGCGTCATCGACATAAAAATCCCTTTGTACTATTAGCGCTGCTAACGA